TCAGGCAATCCACTCACCTCAGCCTCCCAAAGTGCTGGGATTACAGGCTGAGCCACCAAGCCCGGCTGAAAATCCATAATTTCAAAGGGAAAAAAGTACAAAGCATAATAACATAGTAAAGGATATTTATCACAGTTGATTAATTGTAAACAGCCTTAATGCCCAAAATAACGAGATGCTTAAAAGACAGCAAAACTAACATTGCTTATTTCTGGATGCTAGTTACAAATGATCTTCGTTTTCTTTTCTATTCAGCATTTTTCTCCAATGAAAATGTAGTAGTTTAGTTAAAAGAAACAGCAGAAGTTACTTTAATAAAAAAAAAGATAATAGATGGGGAGACACCCCTTATCAACAAGGGTGCCTGAACGAGGCATATTTGTATACCTAACCCTTAACTGTACCCCACAATATCAAAATAAAAATATTGATAGAAAAAAGATAATAGAATATTATGTTAAGAGAAAAAACCTAGGATTTTAAACTTCTGTACATAGAAAAGAGCCTGCTAGGAACTAGAACAAAATGCTGAAAGTGATTCTTTTTTTTTTTTTTGAGTTGGAGTCTCACCCTGTCGCCCAGACTGGAGTGCGGTGGCCGCTCCCGGCCACCACAGCCTCGACCTGCTGGGCTCCGGCGATCCTTCCGCCTCAGCCTTCCAAGTAGCCGGAATTATAGGCATGCGCTACCATGCCTGGCTGATTTTTTGATTTATTGTAGAGATGAGGTCTTGCTGCCCAGGCGGGTCTTGAACCCGTGGGCTCAGGCAATCCACTCACCTCAGCTTCCCAAAGGCGTGGGATTACAGGCTGAGCCACCGAGCCTGGCTGTGATTATTTCTTTTACAATTTCATGTGTTACCCAAATTTTCCACAAATAGCATGCATTACTTTTATAATCAGGAAAAAAGAGTGTATTTTGGGGGCAACCATTGTCAGAAGTGTTGTATGTCCATCAAACATTATATGACACACATATACCTTTTTTTCTTCAAGTTATTAAGGGCCAGGGGA